TGTTCCGCAGGAGAAAGATGAGGCTTTCTGCTCCCGTAAAGATTTACAGCCTCGGAAACCCTGTACAGGGTCACTATGAGTTGGAACCAACTCCACAGCAGGATATATAATATGTTGTGGTTGTTAAGTGCCGTTGAGTTGGTTCCAACCCATAGCAACCCTGTATATGGTTTCTGAGGAGTGGCTCAGAACCTTGCAGTTCAAATGGCTTTGTGTTCTGGTGGGTTAACCCACAGAGCCACACCAGGTCTCCATATGTTGTTGTTGTTACATGCCGTCGAGTCGATTCTGACCCATAGTGACCCTGTAAAGGGTTTCCAAAAGAGCTTGACCCACCAACCTTGCAGTTCAAACGACTTTACAGTCTGAAGCATTAGCCTACAGTACCACACCAGGACTCTAGGACTCATATAGATATCATATATTTGTTCTTGTTAACTGGTGTCAAGTCAATTCTGACTCATAGCGACCCTGAATAGTGTTTCTGAGGAGCAGCTAATAAGTTTGAACCACCGTCTTGCAGTCCAGTGCCACATCAGGACTCCATGTATTTATATCTGTTGTTGTTGTTGAGTGCCATTGAGTCATTTCCAACTCATAGCAGCCTTGTATAGGGCTTCCAAGGAGCTATTGGTGAGTTTGAACAACCAACCGTGTGGTTCAAACTGACCATGTGATCTAGTGCATATCCTACAGCAAGCACTACACTAGAACTCCAAATGTCAAAGAGCCATTGCCATGCTGCAATGAATTTCGATGACGGGTAAGACTGAGGAATTCGCACTGACCGCCTAAGACAGGCAGCGTCCCTTAAACAAATAATAAATAAGGGGGAATCTGATGCAGAACGTGCAGAGCCGGTCAGGAGTTCAAGTCCCTGTGGGCCCAAGCATTGCTGACCGTCCAAACCATAGGCTCTGAGGATCAGACTTTAGCCACCTAGCAGACATAGCAAAATGTCCCTTATCTGATTATTCAGTTATGCTGGTTAATAATTCTATACATGAGCCCTGGATACCCACAGATAAATGTAAAAACCTTCCCTAAAAGCTGAGACTGTAAATTCCAAAAAGGCAAAGTTTTTCCCAAAAAAAAAGCTAAAGAGGATAGAGAGAAACTCTGTTAACTGATGGTATGTGGAGGGGATTATAATCAATGTAATGAAACAAGGTATATGAATGTTTGAATGTGAAACCGATGATGTGCCCTGAAAACTTTCACTCAATCCACAATAAAAACCTTAAAAAAAAAAAAAAAAAAAGTAATGCTACAGAATTGCAGAATTCTTTATTAAACAAAAATATAAAAATATTTCTTGACCGGTACTCCATTTGAGTGTATACCCTTTTGAAAATGATTGTTTTCATCTCTTTCTCCCAAAATTCTTCCCTCTTAGATTTTCGCCACATCAAAACACCAGTGTTGGTATCCTTCAGAGATTCAAATTGTGTTCCTTTAAAAAGGTCTTTGAGTTAGGGACAAGATCAGGGCTGTATGGTGGATGGGGCCAGTATTCTTGATGAAATTCTCATAGGACAGCCCCTGCCACCATTGAAGAATAAGCAGATTGTCTTGATGGAAAAAAATTCCTCATGCAGCTTTCTTGGCATTTTTCTCACTAATGTACTTTCCAGTTTTCTTAAAACTTCTTCTGAATTAGCCCCCATGATGTTCTGTGACCTTCAAGAAAATCTGTCAAGATTACCCTTAGGAATTCCAGAAAACAATCTTCAACACTTTTGAGCTGACCCCTCTGCCTTAACTTAGCTGGCCCAGAAGATTCCCTTGTGGAAGCTACTGTCTTGATTGGAGGGTTTTTGTTTTTAAGGCACCTTAATGAGACTGAGACAGATATATTACTGAAAAGATTTGTCTGCAGCCATCCATTGATCACAGACCCATATTTAAATAAATTTTGTTTGAAATAAACCCTTGCAAGGTTGGAATAAAAGCTTGCAAGCACTGGTAGCGTAGTGATTACAAATCGGGATGCTAACCTCAAGGTCGGCAGTTCGAAACTACCAGCAGTTCCGCGGGAGAAAGATGAGGCTTTCTGCTCCCGTAAAGATTTACAGCCTCAAAAACCCTGTGCAAGGTCACTATGGGTCGGAACTGACTCCACAGTACTAAACAACAACAAATATATGAACTGGAACCCTAGTAGCAATACTTTTTAAATTACCCTTGGATTTTTCACTTACCTGTAGTTAGTGATAGGAATCTACTTGTATTAATCAGAGTTTCTAATGGCAAGTAACAGTAAATAATTTGAGATAGTTTTAGCAAAAGAGTGGAAATTAATTATAAGGACATAGGATCATTTTACCAAACTCGCGAGCTAATACCACAAGATGCTTTGAAAAGGATTGAAGTCAGAGACTGAAAAGTTGTCAGGATATCTGAGAACTTCTGTCAGTCAGTCCTCTCTACTCTGCGTGTCTACATCACTTTTAGCTGTCTCCTCTATATTCTTTGCTTTAGTGGGAGAAATGTGTTTTAGGGAAAGAGACAAACAGTATGTTTGTTGGTCCCTGTTTCTTAAATCCATCACAGTTTCTAAAAACCCATTTTGAGTTGAATCATACCTCAAAAGGTATATATATTCCATAATGCATTCACTTCAGAATTGTAATGCTTTGGGGTTTCTTTCTGTTTTTAAGTTGCAGGCTGGTGAAACGCTGAGAAACAGCACTCATAGTAGCACAGCTGCAGACTTACTACAAGCAAAGCAGCAGATCCTCACTCATCAGCAAAAGCTGGATGAACAAGACCACCTCTTAGAAGATTATCAAAAAAAGAAAGAAGACTTCAGAATGCAAATTAGTTTCTTACAAGAGAAAATTAAAGCATATGAAGTGGTATGTTTATATTTAAAATCATCCAACTTGTGGCAACTTTGCAATTAACTTTAATTTCATGTATGTGTTCATCTTTTTGTTATGCACATGGCTCACAAAATATTGTATTTAATGAAAGCTATTTAAATACATGAAATAATTCATTTTCAAAGCAATTAGTAGTCTCACAATCATAGACTTTAAAATTTTACACATTATTGAGTTCTTGGAAAGTAATCAGCCCATGTTAAGCCAAATTCTCAGGAAAATTCAGCAACCAGAATTTCTCTCCTTTATTTTTTTTCATTTATAGGTATTCATACTTATTTTAGCTATTGTTCTGAAACTTCAAAGATATTATCAAAACAAAATGTTGGACTTTTTAAATTAAGTGATACTCTTTTATAAGTTTTTTTTTTCTCCTATAGAATATCAGGAAATAGAAATGTTAGATTTTTGTGACGTAAATATTTTTCAAGATTAATTATTAATTTACTACTATGAATTGATTTTACTGTGCACTTTTTCTAATCTATAAATATATTGCATTTGTGTAACACTTTAAAAGTCAAGTACCTTAATATATTTTATTTTATTTTAGCCTTAAAACATATTCTAGAAGGTAGATAAAATATTATCTGTGCAAACAGTTGTACAGATGAAAAGACCAGGATTTAAAGAGAATAAAATAATCTACTAATGTCATAGTGCTGTGTAAATCTTAAAATAAGCAGGCTCAGCATTTGGCAACAACATAAGGTAGCATAGGATGGCGCATGTAATGCCAACTGAAGATCTAGGAGGATTTCACACAAGAGACTATACAGGATAGCTTTCATTGCTGTGGCTAACTGACACAGAATAGATTCTGGCCTTTATTTGTCATCTTAGAGCAGTTACAGAGAAATTTCTTTGTCCCAAGAAGGCCAAGACTCCTTTAGTGCCTCTTCATTTCCAGAGCTGGATACACAAGTCTCATTGTCTTTAGAACAATTGAGGAGCAAACACAGCAGTTGCTTTATATAGAATTATGTAAAAAGCTGACTTATTTCAGTCTTTTGGTAAACTGGTAATGTAAGTTGCCAGAAGCTAAAAATACCATTCTTATATTTTGTTTTTTTCTTTTTAAAGGAACAAACTAAAAAAGTAGAAAACTCAAATAAAAAAGAAATACACGAAAAAGAGGCAGTCATTGAAGAATTAAATACAAAAATAAGGGAAGAAGAAAAAAAGTCTCTTGAGTTAAAGGATAAAGTAACAGCTGCTGATAAGCTCCTGGAAGAATTACAAGAACAGGTTTTACAAAAGAACCAAGAGATAAAAAACATGAAATTAGAGCTGACTAATTCTAAACAAAAAGAAAGACAATGTTCTGAGGAAGTGAAACAGTTAATGGGGACAGTCGAAGAACTTCAAAAGAAAAATCATAAAGATAGCCAATTTGAAAATGATCTTGTGCAAAGAATGGAACAGGAAACACAAAGAAAGTTAGAACAACTTCGGGCAGAGCTAGATGAAATGTATGGCCAGCAGATAGTGCAGATGAAACAAGAGTTAATAAAACAACACATGTCACAGATGGAGGAACTTCAAACACAACATAAGGGAGAAATAGAGAATGCTTTTAGATCATATCCAGATATTTCAGTTAATGAAGATCAAATAAAGTTAATGAATGTGGCAATAAATGAACTGAATATAAAGTTGCAAGATACTAACTCTCAAAAGGAAAAACTCAAGGAAGAACTAGGAGTAATTTCAGGAGAAAAGTCTGCTTTACAGAGACAGCTTGAAGACCTTTTGGAAGAATTAAGCTTTTCAAGGGACCAAATCCAGAGAGCTAGACAGACAGCAGCTGAACAAGAAAGTAAACTCAATGAAGCATATAAATCTCTTAGTACAGTGGAAGATTTGAAAGCTGAGATTGTTTCTGCATCTGAATCAAGGAAAGAACTAGAAATAAAACATGAAGCAGAAGTCACAAATTACAAGATAAAACTTGAAATGTTAGAAAGAGAAAAGAATGCTGTGTTAGACAGAATGGCTGAATCCCAAGAAGCTGAATTAGAGAGGTTGAGAACACAGCTTCTGTTTAGTCATGAAGAAGAGCTTTCCAAACTGAAGGAAGATTTAGAAATTGAACATCGAATAAATACTGAAAAACTTAAAGATAACTTAAGTATTCACTATAAACAGCAGATAGATGGATTGCAGAATGAAATGACACAGAAGATAGAAACCATGCAGTTTGAGAAAGACAGTTTGATAACTAAGCAGAACCAATTAATTTTGGAAAATTCAAAATTAAAAGATTTGCAGCAGTCCCTTATGAATTCAAAATCAGAAGAAATGACTCTTCAGATCAATGAACTTCAGAAAGAGATTGAAATACTCAGACAAGAAGAAAAGGAAAAGGGTACCCTTGAACAAGAAGTTCAAGAACTGCAACTTAAAACTGAATTATTGCAGAAACAAATGAAAGAAAAAGAGGATGACCTTCAAGAAAAATGTGCACAAATTGAAGTAGAGAATAACATTCTTAAAGATGAAAAGAAAGCCCTTGAAGACATGTTAAAAATATATATTCCTGTTAACCAAGAAGAAAGATTCATAGTCTTGGACTCCAGTAATTCCAAATCCAAGGATGGTAGCTTTCAAAAAGAAATAGATATACTTAAAGAGGAAAACAAGAACCTCAAAACACAATGCCTTCAGCTAAATGAAGAGATTGAAAAACAAAGGAACACTTTTTCATTTGCTGAAAAAAACTTTGAAGTTAATTATCAAGAGTTACAGGAGGAGTATGCTTGCCTTCTCAAGGTAAAAGCTGATTTAGAAGAAAGTAAAAACAAGCAAGAAATAGAATATAAAAGTAAACTTGAAGCACTTAATGAAGAGCTTCATCATTTGCAGAGAATAAATCCAACTATAGTAAAAATGAAAAGTTCAGACTTTGACGATGAAAAGACTTTTATAACAGAAACACTGGAAATTGGTGAGGTGGTGGAGAAAGATACCACAGAGCTTATGGAAAAACTTGAGGTAACCAAGCGAGAAAAATTAGAACTATCAGAGAGATTATCTGATCTTTCTGAACAATTAAAGCAGAAACATAGTGAGATTAGTTTTCTAAGTGAAGAAGTTAAATCTCTAAAGCAAGAGAAAGAGCAAACTTTATTGCGATGTAGAGAGCTAGAAATCATAATTAATCATAATAGGACAGAAACCGTAAATGTGTTTGATGTTCATCCAGGCTCTCTTAAAGATAGACTTGTGGCTGTGACAAGTAGCTGTGACATTGGAGGGCCACTTTCTAAAACAAGTAAAGGGTTTCATGATGAATCAAAAGTAATGGAGGAAAATAAAATCAATTTGGAAAATATGACTACTGGGAAAGCAAGCAAGCAAGAACAGTTATTTTTGGATCACCTGCCATCAGTGACAAATAAATCAACATTTGAGGGAACTGAACCTAGTGAAAATAATCAACTTCAGCAGGAACTCTGTGTACTTAAAACAGAGCAGGTATGTTTACTTGTTTAAAAATGTTAAAGCGACGTAAAGATGATAAACCTTTCATCCTAGAAAAAGTTTTCATTTTCATAAAACGTAGATTATAATTTCTTTACAAAAGAATGAAAATAAGCCCACTAAATTTGGGTCTGCCATTTATTTCATCTATGTTTTTCTTTCACATTGTTACTTTTCTTTTGATTAATCTGTGTTGTGCATTCTGATCAAGAAATATAAAATGGTAATAATTTCATATTTTTTTGAAAAGGCAAAAAATTAGATGACTTGATTGAGAATGTGAGTGGTATCAAAGTTATTCATTTTATTTTGTAATGTTAACTGTCGTGCCAAATACTGGTTTTAAAACTTCATTTTGTGCTAGGATCTTCAAGGTTGTTGTTGTTAAGTGCCACTGAGTTGGTTCTGACCCATAGCGACCCTGTATAGAGTTTCCAAGGAGCAGCTGGGTGACCTTGACCACAGATCTTGCATTTCAAACAACTTTTCAGTCTTCAAGGTTACACTATAAAAAATGAACTGTTTTTTAATAATTTTATATAATTGTTCTGTAGATATGAAATTGTTTCCTTGAAAAAAAATCTATTTAAATCATAGATTTTATCATTCTTGTTATACTTGAAGAAAAATAAAGTATTAACTCTATGTACGGTTAGAGTATTAAACACTGTCTGTAATTTGATTAGTAATAGATGACCCCTGACAATTTATATTGATATTGGAGTTAACAGGAAAGTTCTACTGGGCTAAGCAGCCATTCAAGGTACAATTGGTCTCAATATGCCTGGAGCAACAATGGAAGAAGTGTTAGGAATAGGAGGCTATGGAATGTTCTAAGTGCCTCCGTGATCAGCTGTCGTCTTTGCCATGAGACCAGAAAAATTGGATGGGGCCCAGCTACCATTACTGAACATTTTTTGATCAAAGAGTCTATAGACGAATTCTGATCAGAAGAGGGAAAATATAGAACAAATGTTCATGGACTCTAGACTACCTGGATCCATGAAGGATGAATGAACTTCTGAAACTATTGACCTGAGATCATCTTTAAACCTTAAACCAAAGATATTCCTGAAGGCTTTTAAAAATCAAACAATAGTTTAGCTTAACATAAAAAAAAATTTCTGCTTTGTGCAGTATGCTTTTTTTAAAAAAAATGTTTTATTGTGAATTATGTGATAGTTCACATGGGAGAACATTAGTTTTACATTCATCCTATTGTATATCATTTCATTGCCATGATTACAGTCCCCTCCATGCAACATCAACCAACCAGAGGGTTTACCCTACAAGCCTGTTCCCCTGGTCGTCAGCACACATCCCCTCTCCGTTTCTAGGTATGAAGTCCACAGCTGCTCCATTTCTCCACGTCATCGTCTCTGCTTCCATCTCTGCCGTCACTGCTTCTCTGGGCAGGGTCCCGCTCTCCACTGTTCTCCCTTGATGGCCCCAGGGATCTCTGCTCCTAGACTACAAAGTTAATCACTCCCCTCCTTGCTACAAAACGTCTACCTTTACATTTCCAACCCTCACAATCAGTCCTGATAACAATTATTTACCATTGTAGCACAAGAGACCTATCCGCGTTTCCTTTCATCAGCCCCGCCTAGACAGATTGGATACTACTCAGTGGAGATTCTGTCTTCCTCCATGCCTTCTGGATCTAGGTTCCCTCTTTAAGCTTGTAGGCCAGTTACTTCTTGCCTTTATAGCCACCTCCACTTTGGGTAGCCAGTGTCCAAATTGCCCATCCCTGTCTACTCTCTGTATGTATTTGTTCCCTCTTTTGAGCTACTGCATCCATAGGTGTAGGTCAAGTTCATCAAATTGTATTAGATTACTCTTTTTTTCCTCTTCTTTTTCCTTCTAGTTGAGCTTTGATCATCCAGTCATTGAAGCCCGATCAAGTGGGTATTATCTATAAGTGTGGGTGTTCTTGTGCATATGTCCTCTTTTCTTATCCACTGGACGCTTCACTTTCTACTCTAGTCCTCTGTGGCTGTGTCACTGACTCTGGGCCCAAGAGTCCCCAGGTCTTGCCACATTGTTGGCCAACCCAGTCTCCACCTGGGTTCACAGGAGTCTATTGAACGTTGTAGGGCTTAGCTTGCAGCTTCATTGCTGTTTTCCCCTCACTTCTTATTAGTGACGAACATGGTCACCAATCAGAGCATGTATTTCCACTGAGTCTTAGTCTTGGAAGGGGGTTTGATCTGAGGGGACCTGACCACTTGCCTTGATGTCTCCTGAGCGAGCAACTTGCTTGTTCTTGTAGTAATCAATCAGTTTGACATTATTGTTCTGTATTTTTCCTGTTAGTCTTTCTTTCAAGAAGTATCTTCTGTTCTTCTAGCCGCTCCAGGCTGGTCTGCTTGTCCTTTCAAGTGGAAATTTCCCACCTCTGAAGATTCTGGATACGGTTCAGGATTCCACCTTTAGTCTTATGTAATGCAGAGGCTCCACAGGTAGCTACCTTCACTGGGCATGTTGTAGTCCCATTTTAGGTATTCCAATCAGTTACAGGCAGAAAACAGACTTAGATTCTTTCTATGGTGATATTTCTAGCTATTCCTTTTTCTCCCCCCCAGTGTCTATTTATAATGGTATGCAAGGGAAACCAAGATTCAAAAGATAGCCAAGCATTCTTAACATTATTTCCCTCCTTTTCCCAATTCCAACCATGTCTCAATCCCTGTATCCCAGAGGCCTGTTGTTCCAAGGTTGTGCATACATCATTCTTT